TTAAATAAATAATTTTTTATATACAAAAAAAATTATTGAAAATAGACCTTTTTTTACCCGACGAAACCCACGTAACCCCTTAAGTGATCTTATGACCAGATTTAGGGCGCCACCGTATTTCCAGTCGAATTTTATAAAGAGGAAATCCACTAAATTCATTTCTGAAAAATTTTTGGATTTTGATAACCGCAAAACCTTAAAGTATTGACTGAGTGGCTACTTAAGGCGAGACCCTTATACCATGTTATATGTATAATCGGGCACATTATCTTTTAGTTAAAGTTAAGTAATTTTAATACCCTCGCAACACCTCCGTAAGAGGTTTAAAGTTCATATCTCATAAACCGATTAAGATAAGTGAACCAAATTTTATGAGAACAAATTCTTACACAGCATGATAATTGATAAAATCGGATATAACCACGCCGACTACCCGTATAACGGTTACGATAAAAACGACTAAAAGTCCGTTAGCTCACTAAACGGGTTGCGAATTTTTTCATTCAAAAATTTTGGGATTAAGAAAATTGTATTTTTAAGTTTGAAATATTGAAAATGACGGTTCTGTGCGAGTCCTAGCTTAAAATAGTAGAACACGAAGTACGCAAACGAGAAAAAATGTTTATTCCAAAAAAATGTATATTTTTTACTCTTAATTATTCATATGCTTGAGATTAAAATTTTTGTTTTTTTTTTATTTTTGCGATTACAAAAAAAATTTCACATGGTTCTTTCACTTTAGAGTAAACATATATGTAAATCAAGCAGCAATGAAGTTATCAAAATAAAACTCTACTCTAATTGTTCGATTTAAGGTAACTCATCTAGTAAGATTTAAAAATTCTAACTTTTTCCGAAATTATCAGTCATTCTGTTACTCTAGCTTTCATGTGCTACATACTTGTATAACGATTTTCTGTAATCTAGCGTAATATTATGCCGAATATGTAAGTTGTCTCTGGAAAAATGTTTACAAATATGCTTGCAATTAGTCGAGACCTTTCCCTAGCCCCTGTACATAATTCCAGCTAACTTCAAACCGTTTATGTTGTTCAAAAAGTTTTATATTTTAATGAAATTAAGTGGATATGTTTTCTTAACCATAATGTGCATTATATACGAGTATATATTAAATTTGGACCCTTTGGTGATTTTATATAACATATATCTCACTCGAGTTATTTAGCTTGATTTTAATATAAATATTTCGGACAAGCAAAATGTAGTAATGGAACTAGAAGAATATATGGCTAATAATTTAAGTTGATAAGATACCAAATTTTATCGTAATATATTCGTTTTCTTCCAATAACGCATATTAAATTCTTACACAACATTTTTAAACTCTGACAACATGCTACAGACTATGAAAACTATTATATTCACATGACGGTTGTTTGTATCACCTAAAACTAATCGAGATAGATATAGAGTTATGTACATGTAAATGATCAGGGTGAGGAGGCGAGTTGAATTCCGAGTGACTGTCCGTTCGTTTGTACACGCTGTAACTTGAGTAAAAATTGTTATTCCTTGGCATCGTAAGAAGTTTGTTTTTGTAGATGTGCAGAATCAGACCACTGCCACGCTCATAAAACGTTATTAATCAAAAACATATAAAAAGTTATAACTAAGCCGCATGATAAGATACAAAACTTTAATTTTATACAACGAATGGCAGTAAAAAGGGATTGGCCCCGCCCCAAATGGTATTAATGTATATAAGTCCCAAACTGTGCAAGCTATATCACCCAAGTTTGTACAGGACAAATCCTTTTGACACCTCTTATGACAGTGTGAAAATAGATGAAATCTGATGATACTTCCTCCCACTCTCCATATAACGGATTTGTTAAAAACTACTAGACCCGAGATGGTACAAGAAGGCTTTATAGAAGCCGGTGTCAAAATTGGATAAAGGGCGTGGCACCTCCCTTTAGGTGAATTCATATAGTATCTCTGGACCTACACGAACAATATCAACCAAATTCGGTGGGTAACATTATTTCGACATCCTTATGTTACAGTGGGAAAATGGGCGAAAGCGGTCAACAACCATTTCTCATATAACACAACTTTAAATTTCACCTGATTTTTTCACTTCCAGTATACATATCAAGCACCAATTAATATATCGGGATAAAACTTTGCTCAAATAGTGCCTTTAAGGTGTACCATTTCAAGTATAAAAATTGTAAAAATCTGACCAAAATTATTCAAGCTATCAGATACCGAATTTGTAAACCTTTTACCTAAAATACCAGTCAATGTGTAATATAGGTATATAATTGAAATTCGCAAATTTCATATAGCTTTAGTGGTTTGTGAGATTTGTATTCACATAAAGTTTTCTTTTTTTCAAACTACGGATGCCTCTTCCTAATACGATTCATTGTATTAAATTACAACTTTGTGTCCTTATTCGCGGTTTAGTTACAGCACTTTACAAGTATTCGATTAACAGCATTTGTGGGCGTGACAAAGGTCCAACACCGGCCATTCGCAATACCAACCTTCTCATGGGGCCTAGAAACAATATATTGGGTATGAAGAAAAAAGTGAGCCACAGGATCAAAACTCATTATATTTAGAATATGAGATTAAAACCAAGATATATACCAATTTATTTCATATTTAACGCTAAACCACTTTATCCTTAAGAAAACTTTTCTACATAATTTAAATAAAATAGCATATATGCTTACCATGTTACCACCCAATTTTGTAAATATAACTCTCCACTGATCGACATTTTTGGTTGAGTATGCTAGAATAACGAAAATCATTATATATATACCTATATATAGTATATGGTAAGTATTAATAGCGCTTCATAAATTATGATTCGAGAAGGTGAACTTGAAGACACTATTTGTGCAAAGTTTTGTCTTGATAACTTTATTTACTGTAAAGTGAAAGAATCAGAGGACTTTAAAAGTGCGTTATATTTGTGCTCCAATTTCGCCCACAGTGTAAGTTAAAAATGTCTGTAATATTATGTACCGAGTTTGATTGAAATTGATTTAGTCGTTCGTGAGCTATAGAATTTCACCTAAGGGCGATGCCAAGCCCATTGTTCAATTTTTACAACGATTCCTTTGAAGCCTTTAAGACTTCTTCTGACCGCGTATTTAGTAATTCTGAACATAACCTTTATATGGGGAGAAGGCGTGGTTAGTATTCGAATTCATCCATTTCCACAGCGTTTAAAGAGGTACCGAAAAGATTCGCCCTCAGCAAGTTTGCTTATCAGAACTTTAGAGGTTTGTGAGATACGTCCATTAAAGCTATAATTGGTCGGGCTGCCGTGTACTACTGTGATCCCTTTGTATCTTCTTGTATCTTAATTTGTAGTTTCCACTTTATAAGTTTTCGGTTAATGGTGGACAGACAGCCAACCAAAATTCAACTCGTTTCGTCATCCTGATCTTTTATACACTTACTTTATAGCTCTTTCGATTAGTTTTAGGTTTTACAAAGAAAGAAACTGTTATTCTTTGTAGCAACATGTTGCAAGGTATAAAAATTATATGAAAGATGTGAATGATCACTATAATCGATATAATATCATCAAAGGTAAATAACAAAATCGATTTTGACAAATAGAACTTATTCCTTATAAACGGTTCGAGCTTTTCTTCCCGCTATTACTATATTGAGAGTATTCAGGAGTTCGACTATTTAGAAGGCGGTCTTCTAACCCTTTTGTGATTTTCCTCTCAAATCCTGTATTCAATCTTAAAAATATGATGATCCATCATATGTGTATTTACCCAGCAAAACTCGGTCATTCAACAGTTTTGCAAGCGCGTTAAAACCCATATTTTTATTTACGCTATTTACGGCACAAAATTATTTAATAATTTGAGAAATCACAAATCATTTGCTGAAATTAGCTTGTTATCTTAGCTACATTGCCAAAGCAGACCACCGAAACTAGCCGTTATTAAAAAAGAAAACGTCGACGAACGAGAAGAACACGCAAATGCAACAAAATTTGGCGCTAACTGTGATTCTATTATTTTTGGCAAATGGCCAAATCAATTTATCTGCTTTGAAACAAAACCCCCTCGCTAGCACGAACATTGGCTAGGAGGAGAAAACCAATAAACACACACACAATCACGCAATAAAACCTGGAAAGCAAGCTCGCTAGTAGCAGAGCAGAAATTAAGGCAAAACCTAGCAGATCAGGGTCTATTGAGTTGTCACATACGCGATACCACAGACACAAAAAAATCCGAGCTGGTGCGACACAAATTGGAAATGCATATGCCAGCAATGGCGGAGTTTGCACCGATATCAGGGTGAACATTGTAAAATAAATACAATAAAAGTGTATTTGTGTGGACTCGTGCATGGCTTGGAACGTGCTGCACTGCTATCTTCATTCGAGTCTTTTTGTACGCTTTACTATGCGCCCTTTGATGACTGACTGCGAATTTTTGCCAAAAATTGCTGATAACGGAGCCAGCGTTTTAGAGAAACAATCAAAAAATAATAAATGCATACATTCACACATTTTGTTGTAGGTAGCCACTTTTGCACTGCATGCAGAGCAATGAATTTATTTCTTGTATTTACACACATATATCTGTATGCCCGTGCTTAAATATCTAGAAAAGTTAACCTATTTGAGGCGTTTGCCACAAATTGTTGCTGCTCGTATTGCTGCAGGCTCTGCATAGAGCATGGAAATTATTTTAGTGAATGCTATTTTTGTTATTTCAGCTAAGATTTCTTTTAACTGCCCCCCAAACGGGAATTCGCGCGAATTTTTATATACATCTTTTTTGGGCTTTCATTATTATTTCTGTTGCTTTTGTCGCTATTCTATCGCAATTTGATAATCGCCGAGCACATTTTTCACAATTAATTTAATTTGCTCGTCATCGCTGGTACAAAGGCAACGCAACTTTACACTCAATAAATTTTCATGGCAGTCTATAAAAAATCCTTTTTTTGCATGTACATTTTCCTTCCACATCATGCTTCCTTACCATTAGTTGTCCAACATAATTGTTGCGCAATTGGATAGTGCCAAAGAGGTGTTGGAAGTCAAGGGAGTTGATCTTGCGCACCGCCTGAAATGCTGCTATGACTTTTATTATTATTACACCCACGCTTGGTTAATTACGTGCTTTCACCTCATCAACTCAGTTACAATTCCTCTTCGCACGCCGTAATTCCATTTACACTTTTACACACACTTTTTATTCCAACCTAGTTTGGAATTTCCAACTTTTGATACTTCAACCTTCCCTTGTTTTAATTTGGCTTTCTCCTTATTTTGCATACACACCTTTACGTTCACATTCCATTGTACTCTTAAATACTTTACTATCGCTCCTCATCATAGCAGCAGTTAGAGCCCGTTTGCTCCTTGAGCCCTTGTGCAAATTCAGGCGAAAAACTTTCAGCCTTATATTCAATTTTAGTTTTTTTTTTATTTTATAATGTATGCATTTATTTTATTACCGCTGTTCACTCAAAAGCAGCAAACACTTCAGCGTTCGTTACAATTCAGCTACATTTTTCGCTTTAATTGCGTTCGTTTATAAATTTTTTATAAGCACATTTTTGGGCGAAAACACTCTGGAAAATTGCGCTGTTGACGAAAATACTAAAATACGGCACTAAAAGCGACTTAATTTACGATTCGACCCGACCGCGCAATACTCTGCTGCATTTAAACCGTCCGCACCGTGCGCGCACAGCGTTAACTTTAATTCCGGACTACTTCCACCAAACGGCTCTAAAACAATGTGGCATAGTACTAAGCGCTACACCGCTTATGCGTGCTTTCAATAACGCTTCCAGATGCGTGTGATGTGACGCACTAAAATACATTTAAAGGAAACTGTTCGCCCGCATCTTTACATTAAAGTACACAAGAGGCATATGCAGCATTGTGAGTGTGTCAATTTTATGCAAAATCTAATCTTTTTACACACACGAAACAGCAAATGCACAAACACATCACTTAAGCATTAACTGACAGCCAGCATCAACATTGCCAGCTCGACCAATATTAATGCTATTTAATCTCAAATAGTCACAAAATCGAAAACCCAAAAAGGACACAAACACACGCGTGCACAATGTTACGGTAGTATTAGTGACAATTAAGGTGGTGTGGGAGTGGTTGTTGTTGTTCAAATCAAATCACTACCAACACACAGTGGTCCTCAGTTTAGTACAGCCTACCTATATGTCTGCTATCTATATTTCTGGCCTTCTTCAATCTCTCTTGTTTCTATATGTTTCGCTATTTTCCGCTAAGTACATCCAAACTGTTCGAAATGCCGGCTATGACTGACTTCTAAAATCGCTTTCACAGCTTTGTATCAATTTCATTGCTCGTTTACCAAGCACAATGCGACAGGCCGAGACTTTGGCAGCGACGGCGACTGCTGCGTTGTTGTTCAGTGCAATTCGATGATATTAGCATTCATGCTTACCATGATAGTTCACTACAACGTGTCGTGCTGTTATTATTGTTACTGGCTTTGTTTTTGTCACCACTTGCTTTGCTATTCTCGGCTATCAGCTGTTAGCTTCTCTGCTGCTGCCTCCGGTATATCTGTCTTTGTTACTCTTTTCCCGTTTGCAACTGTTGCAAGAAGACGATCCGTAAACGCTCGCACAGACGCGCCGCTGCACACCTACAGCATTACTAAACACCTTATGCCACGCACCACCCACTTCGGCCCTGATTATTTCGCACTGCGCTCTTACCCATTGTGCTACTTTTTCTCTTAACTCAACAGTTCACTCTCTTTAATATCTGTCTGCCTGGCGTTTTTCTCGCTTTTGCTTAGTCGTTTATGTTGATTTGCTTGCGTGCGCACATACACACTCGCGAGTGCCCTTGTTGGTTTGTTTCTAGTGTGATATTAGGCGCAGTTACTGGTGTGTGTGAGGTACTAAAAGAATTGTCATACAGAAAAATGCACACATACACAAATTTAAAACAGATGCATTTCAAATACATATATCAATTCCTTATTTTGAATTTTAATCGAATAAAACCTGCTAAATATAATATATGGTACACGGAGTTCATACTTTGCAAAAAATATACGGTAACGTAATAACGAGTACGAAGTTTTGCATAGTTGTTGCATATTAATTGTTTGGCGTACCTAATTTAAATTAGATATGTAACAATTCTGTTTCCTCCATGCTTTGATGCATAGAACTTTAAACTGGGTAAGTGTTGAAAGAGCTTGATATTTTTAATATGGCACCAAAAAATCTCAATAAAATATTATATATACAAACTATACTTAATAACATTTATCTGAGGTAACAAAAAACTTAACTAAAAAGTTTGTTAAAGACTGTATTGCCGCTAAATAGATTAAATAGTTAAGGTAAGACTAACTTAGGGGCTGTTTGAAAAATCTCTAGTAATTTAATTTTTGGTCATAAGACGTCGCACTTCAAAGACGCTATTCATACAAAGTTTTATCCGGCTACATTGACTAGTTCCAGATTTGTATACTGGAAAGTGAAAAAATCAGAGGGAATTCAAAATTGTGTTAAATGAAAAGGCTTTTGTCTGATTTCGCCAATTTTCGCAGCGTAATGTGGGACTGTCAAGGTGATGTTATGTATCGAATTTGGATGAAATCGGTCGAATAGGTCCGAGATATGGGGTTTCTCCTAAAAGTGGGCATTATACAAAATTGGCACCGCCTCCTATTAAGCCCTCTCGTACCATCTCGGGTGTGAAGTTTTATGTCTCTGGCGCGTTTATTTATAAAATTATCGCTCTTACAGTAGTTTCTAACAAATCCGTTATATGGGGAGTGGGCGTAATCTGCATTCACATTTCATCACAAGGTGGGTAGGGATGTTAAAAACATTTATTCTGAGCGAATTTTGTTATTATAGCTTAAATGGTTTTAGAGATATGTACATTAAATTTATTAGAGGGTGAGGCCAAGTCCACTTTTTAATATTATTAAACCATAGATGCCCGTCCCTAAATTTAATGCGTTGTACTAAATTGTTGTAGGGCTTAGTTATGGCACTTTTCGGTTAATAGCGTTTTGTGGGCGAGAAGTGTGTCCGATTACGCCCATCTTTAATACAAACCTTCCTTTGATGCCAAGGAACAGGTTTACGAAGTTTCAACAAGATATCTCAATTCTTACTCAAGTTATCGCTTGCACAGACAGACGAACGGATGGACAGACAGTCACTCGGAATTCTACTCGCCTCCTCACCCTGATCATTTATATATATATAACTCCATATCTTTCTCGATTAGTTTAAGGTGATACAAACAATCGTTAGGTAAACAAACCTATTACACTTTGTAACATATGTTACTACTATGTATAAAAATGTTGCGAAAGGATTAAACGGTCATTGTTCGACGAAATAGTGAATGGATTACAATTAAATTTAGTATTTTAGTATATCATATTATAGGGTATAGACTCACTTAGTTTTATTTCTATATTTTACTTCACGTCAGCGAACGTTATATTAAAACCAGGTTAAAACAAGAACATGTAACCGAACATTTTATACTCTCGTAAAGTTAAATGGTATACTCGTTTGAGATTTCTTTATACATTTTAATAATTAGAAGTAGGATCTGTTGCCTCAGTTATATACATTCACAAATGATGATGGTGATAGTTGGTAAACTAAATTTACTCAAATTAAGAGAAATCGTTCCTGTATTTTGTTGTATACGCTTATAACTGATTTTATATAGAATGCCTTACAAATGTATTGAGGAGTATGAAAAGAAATGGTTTTTGGACAATGAATTACATATTTTATTTATTATATCGATATTATAATACATGTTCAGCTTAAAAATAATAAATATTAACAACTTTAAAAAGTATATTATTAGATTAATTTGTATATAATACTTACAATATTAAACATAAATTTTTATAGAGATTCTTATATTTATATACAAATTATATTTCTTTTCTCCTTATACTAGTGTGTTTAATTTCTATCAAATATTTATATTTACATAATAACAAATTATACATATAATTTAAATGTTTTTAATTAGATTATTTAGATATTTTTCTTAAAATCGTCTTAAAAACTATTGTCAAAATTGCTATACAATTCTGATTCGATTAAATTTGAAAAAAAAAAATTAAGAACTATTGCAATAAGCCTGAAAACTTAAGTTCGAAATAGAGACATAAATACTGTCATGATAGCTGTGTACTGTCTCAAAAATTGCATTAACATGGGAAGGATCCATGTTTGAAAACGCCCAATCAATTTGTGTACCGGCAGGTAGTTGAATATTCTACACCAAGCAGGGAACTAAAGTTTTTTTCTTGGAGCAGCTTTCCTATTGTAGTCCCTGTAGACATTAAATTAAAAAGGTAAAGGAAGTAAGGACTTCCTGAAGTTCTACAATTAAATGTCTGACAGAGAAAGCGGGATTTTTATATAGGACTAGAATATTAATATTGAAACCTTTAAACAAAACCGCTTCTAAAACTTTGCGGCCAGTATACATTTTCTTTACAATTTCTTTCAATTGAAATTTGTTCATTCAATTTTCATTTATATCGAAAACATATGTATTTTGAAGCTTTATTATATGTGGCACCCTGACTTTTATGAATAGTTATTCCCTCAGCCGGAACAACTGAAAACTGATTTCTTTCAATTGAAATTTATTCATTTCTTTTATATTGAAAAGATTTTAGAACTGTTTCAGTTGGGGTCCAAGAACTTTCTAGAGGATGAGGCTTTTTTGATTGTGCAATCAAACTAACAGAAGCTTCCAAAAATTTAAGCCACAGAATTGTTAAAAAGAACAATGGAAATCAATTTGCATAATTGGTCCAGCTGCCCCATTAACCAAGCCATCACACTTCTTTTTATATACTGTAATCATGTATTTGACGGAGGTTTTTAGTGTTAATTCATAGGGCAGTCCCTGCGTTTCAGAAGTTTTGAAAAGTTTAACTCTTTACTGAATCGTTTGCATTTGAAAGGATAGCTTCAGTTGGGATTCGACTAAGCTTAAGGGCATTGAAATTATTTGTCTCTTCATTGGACCAAAATAAATGTATGGCATCATCGGGAATTTCCCGAAATTAATTACTCGAGTTTTAATGCCAGCAAAAGGGCCAAAGCAAAGGCCTGATCCTCCCTTTGTCTCATTATTTCTGTTAATTCAAAGATCCAGGTGAAGAATTGTAACGATGGTTAAAAGCTTGATATATTGCAGATATCAAACGACTCTTTCCTACACCTGATTTGTTTTTAGGTGGTGCATCAAATGTATCAAATAGGTTCTTTGCTTAGTATTTAGACTTTGAACTAAAGAAAATAATTCCTCAACTGGAATTAAAGGGGGTAGTTTAATAAGTCTAACATTGCAATCAGATTCAGTGCCATTATCTGTTGAATCTTCGCCAGCAAATTTATATTTGGGTTTATTTCTGGAAGTGCCAACACTCTGAACTCATTTTCCAGGTAGGTAGTTCATTTTGAGCACCTTCGTCCAAGTCTATTTCATTATAAAGACTTTCTAGAACATTTTCAAGTTCTCTTTGCTCAAAAACATCATATTTTCTTTGATTTTCCTCAATTATAATTCGATGTGTTATGCAAGTCTGCTCATTATCGTTTTCAATGACATCTTGCTGTTCATTCCGCCAAGGATAGTAAAGCATTAACATTTCGCGGAAATACTCAACTCTGGCCAAATCTGGCTTAAACCTTCTATACCGAAAAATACAAGGTTTGGTACGTTTTTTTACAAAACCGCTACCGTCTTTAAGAGGCATGACAACCCCGCTTCTGGTAAATTATCGTCTTCCCTATCTTCTTCTTCATGATCACTATCTTGTGTTCTTCTACTGGATTTAAAATATTTATACATAAATGCAAATCAGCTAAACAAAGAGTTTCTAAATGAACGTAACTTTGAACATAACGATCTAAAATACCGGCCACGAATATTTCAGTCGAGCCTGAAGGAAGGTTCTGAAGTTCCGCTCTAGGTTTTACCATTCGAACACGTTCCTCAGGTCGAGAGGTATTTATAAATATTTCTGAATTACTTGCTTCCGAAAGATGGAGCCCAATGCAGCAATATACTGCTTCTTGTGCAGATATTGCCTGATATAAATTTGTGACCTATATGTTTAAGTTTTTGCTTAATAGTATAATTTCCAGCATTTACCTCTGATATAGCTTCATTTAAGAGCCTAGAAATTCCCCTGTTAGACTTGTTAATATAATTAAATATATATGAACAGCAAGCATATGCATCCAGTATATATTGGATATCCATATTTGCTCTATGGAGTTCCAAAATCAGAGGATTAGGTATAAGCGTTTATAAAACGATCCTTTAATTTTATTTTTTAGAAAAATTTTGGGTTTT